TAAGATTACTAGCCTATTTGCTTACCTAGCTAGTCTAGGGCTTTCTTATCTAGTTATTCTAGGGCTTTCTTTTATTTTAATATTAGTTAACTAGTATAGGAATAGTTATAGTATATTATATTTATATTTATTAAAAACTAATTAAATAGATATTATTTAAATTCTCTAAAGAATTAAGAAGTAAATAAGCTTTGATTTATATTACGAATATAAGATCTAGAGCCTAGAAGGCATTATTAGACTATTTCTATTTTAATAATTTAAAGCTAAAGAGAGAAGAGGATTTCAAAGAAGCCTCGGATCTAAATAATTACAAGCTATATATAGGCCTATATACTAGGTTAAGCTCGGGGTTATATATAATAATCAAGTAACTATAGATGCCTTATTTAGATACCAGATGCCTCTCTAGCTCTAATCTAATTCCTACTAGAACTATATATTATAATAACTATAATAAGAACTTTATTCTAGTTCTTTTTATATTAAAATATAAGGCATTTACTAAAATCTAGTAAATATTAATAATAGAAGTTTTTATTAGTTAGAACTAATTCGGATATATTTCGGATATATTTCAGATATTTATAAAAGCTTATTTATTATAATAGAATAAGATAATTTAGGCTTATATTAGAGTTTCGAATCTGTAATTATAGCCTATAATATAGATATAGGTATTATTTTATATTAGCTTTTTTTATATTATTTTATTTTAATTTCTATTTTATAGTTTTATTAATTAGTATTAGTCTAATAATTAAGAAATTTAAATATTCGGGAAAAGTAATAAAAGAGTTTAATTTCTTTAACTAGACTAGAATTCAAAAAAATATTAGATAGCTATATAAGAGAATTATATTTAGGATTAAGAAATACCTTAAAATATCTTATTTACTTAATTCTAATAATAATATTTTAATATTCGAGGTTAAGAATAATAAAGAAAAAGTTCCAGATTTAATAATTATTAATAATTAGATATAATTAAATAAACTAGTTTATAGAAGTTTGAGTCTTATTATTAAATCCTCTTATTAGTATAGTATAAGAGAGATTTTAGATAAAAGTATCTAATAATTTAGAGAATTATTTAGTAAAAGAATAATTAATAAAAAGAAAACTATTTATTCTAGTATTTACTAAAAAAATATAAGTTAATTCCGTATTTATTTATACTAAGAAATAAAGAAACTAAGAACTATTATTTATTTATAAACTTAGATAAGTCTAAACCTAATAAATTATATATATATAAGTCTAGAAAGAAATCTCGGCCTAAGTTTCCTTATTTCTCTCTTTTAGAGCATTTTTAAAATTATTTATTTAATTATTTTATTTGTCTATATTATTTATAAAAATCTCGAACTTATAGATTATTATTTTAATAATAGAGAGGTTAGAATAGTTCTTTTTCTAATAGTCTAGTTATTTATATAAGAAGTAAATATTGTTTTTAATACTAAGAATAGGCTTTAATAAAGAAATAATAGAAATAAAAAACTTAATAATAGGCTTAATTATAGGCGCCTGGCCTAAAGCCAAAGAAGTATAGAACCGGAACTATTTTCGACCCGATTTAGTAATAGTATTTGAGTTAGATACTAGTATTTTATTATTTCTATTAGAAGTAATATTCTAATAAATAAAATAAGATTAATATTTCTAGTTATAATAATTCTCTATATTTATAGCTATAAGAGTATTATTTATAATATAGAATTAATATTTCCAAATAAACTTAATTACTATAGCCTAGTTTTAAAAATCTAGAATAATCTTATTTTATATTTAATAAAACTAGTTATTACTATTAACTTGTTTTTGGATAATAAAGCTCTTAAAGTATTTAGAGAACTATAGAAATATTTTATTAAGACTAATAGGCTTATTATATTAATCTTTGCCCTTATTTATTTCTAACTTATAGAATTACTTCCGGTAATCTTTTGTTTTATATTTAGTAGTAAAGTATTTATCTAGAATAATTAATATCTCTTTTACTAATTTATATTAATCCGGTAGTTCTAATTAATAATATGAGAATAGGTAAATATAGGCTTTACTAATAGTAATTAACTAAATTAAAGCTATTTATATATAACTTATAAAATAGTAGTTTATATAGATTTATAAATAATTTATTATAGATATTTTCTAGTAAAAATATAAGAATTTAATACTATTATTAAATAGTTTAATATTACTAGTAATCTTTATTATAAAAGCTAGTATATTTGAGATAGGTTCGGAACTAATATAAGAATATTTATAGAAGAAATACTAATACAATTTATTATATTCTTCTATTTATTCTAGTTTATTCTAGAGAGCAGCCTATAATTCGAAATAACTTAAAAGAAGAAACTTAGAAAAAAGAATAGATTATATAGAAGCGGAAATACTTTACTTTTAATAATAGAAATATTCTTGAAATAGAATACGGAATTAAGATTCCTTAATAAATTCGTATATAAAGATATACTATTCTTATTTCTTTATATAATTCTTAAGGTTAGTAAGTTTGTTTCTAAAGAATACTTTCAGATCCGTAGCTATATTACCTATATCTTCCTTTATTATTACTATAGCTATAGCTTAACTATCTTCTATTACTTATATAATACCTTATAATATATCTGAACTAGAAAAGTTCTATTTATTTCGAGGTTTCTTTATAGAAGCTTTACTATTATTTGATTTTGAAATAGAAGCTTATATAAGTAAGATAAAGAAAAGAGAACTCCTGAAGTTCGTATTAACTAGTATTAACTAGGAGAATAATATAGTTAGAAAGTATTTAAATAAGAGTTAGAAGAATTTCGAGAGATAGTTAGTAAAAAGGTAGTTTTATAAAAAGAAGTTATATATATTGGAAAGTGATCGATTTATTGATGGAAAATCGATATATTGGAGGTTGACAATCTGTAAAATGACTAGATACAGGAGAGTGAAGAGTAAAAAAGGAGAGGAGGGAATCTAAAGTACAGTTCTTATATACCCACTAGTGGGTGGCGATTTCCTCCAGTATATTATAAATCAGATGACTCATATATATTAGTGAGCGTTCCCTGAGCTTCCATAGTGAGCTATTCCATAGGCTTCCATAGTAAACCATTATAAATGAGAGTGGCAAAGCTAATATTAGTAGTTGAACCTGGTACTGGAAGGACTAGTAAGCTAGTACCAATTCAATAATATATAAGTTAACTATTACTTTCTATTTATATTTGCCTTTATATTAAAGAAGTTATTTGGAACTTCTATTATTAATTAATTAATCTATTTTCCTTAATATTATAATTTAGTAGTTTTATACTAGTATTTTCTAATAAAGCAGATCCTGCTTCTACTAGCTATACGGGTAGTCTCTAATTACCCGGCTCTTTAAAAATATATTACTATCTAGAGTTTAGGAATTAAATTCGACTTCTTTTAGATATGTTTCCTTATTAGTAAAATATTATAATAGGCCGTTTCTAGTAAAAACAATTTTTAGATTCTAATATAATAATATATAAGCTTATAGGTAAAGAAGTAGTATAAAGAAGTACTTTTAGAGGCTAATTAGAACAATTATATAAGTCTGATACTAAAGAGAATCTAAAGATAAAAAGAAAAAAGAAAAAGAGAAAAGAGAATAGCCTGAGATCCTATTTCTCTTACCTATAAGATTATATATTCGAATTGGGTCTAATATAAACATTTAGTAATATAGGACTAAGCGAGTATATATTTTATAATAACTAAGATATTACTTTTAAAATATTTTAAAATAAGAATAAAAGGCTAGAGTTTATAATATAAGTTATATAAGATATTAAAAATATAATATTTAAACTAGATAAAAAGTAAGGTTTTATTATTTTATATTTTAAAGCTATTTTTTAAAAACTAATTATAAAATAAGCTAAAGTATTTATTATATAAAGGCTTATAATCTCGATTATTCTTTTATAATCTAATTCTTATATATCTTACTAAATTTATTATAAAGAAAGTATTTAGAGATTATAAAACTATAAATAAGCTTTTTTATTTTAACTTATTTAAGAATAAGATATTTTAATTTTATTAAGATCTAAAAGTTATTAATCTATTCTTTTTTTAAAAAGAAGATAAAGAAATTAATATAATAAATATAATTAGAATAATAGAAATAGTATTTCTCGAATATATAAATATTATTATTAATTATATAACTTCTTCTAATAATCTAAATAAAATAATTTATATCTTTTAATAGCTCTTAATAGTCTTGCTTATAATTTGAAATTCTATTCTCTTAGTTAAGGCTATATTATAAGTAGTAAAAAGACTTACTTATACTATAATAATATACGAGCTTATAAATAAAGAAGAGGTATAAAGAAGCACTTTTAGAAGCTAATTAAAATAATTATATAGGTCTAATACTAAGGAGAATCTAAAGATAAAGAAAGAAAAGAAGAAGACAAGAGGGAATCCCTATAAGGGCCTATATTCCCTAACTATAAGATTGCACGTCTGAAACGGGTCTGACCCTAAAGCTACGTTGCGCTAGGCTAGGCAAGCGAGCGTCCCGTGACATCTGCCATATACTCCAACTACAGTCTGGGCTAAAGCTGTAGCCGAAGCGATAACTGTCACGGCCATCGACGTTGCGGCCGCCTGCGGCAACCAGAACGTGCTGGCATTCTTTGGAAAGAAGGACTAGGAATTGACATTTAGTTGGTTCAGAGTAAGCAGTTGGTAGATAGATAGATCCCTAGAGCGCTGCAACTGTGCCATTAGTGGGGGGTTAAAATATATATATCTAGCTAGTTTATACCGAGCCATAGGCTCCAGTATGCTATAATCAGCGCTACAAGGTGCTATAGTAACCTAATGAATGAGGTGAGTTCAAAAACTCTCCTGGCCCGTAGGCTTGAATTGTACGCGGAAGATTTACATCCAAGGCAATCAAATACCCTTTGAGCAACACTTCACCAGTACAATAACCCTCTGTTGAGCTGCTGCTTAGAGCTTCATGAGAAAGGACCGGTCCTAAAGCCGGTCTTCTGACGGTTACAGCGGCTTATATCTAACTAGTACGGCATCTACTGCATGGTGACAGACGAGGAAGCTAAACAGTCAGTCCCAGAAGAGATCTATTTGCTTACTTTCTTTCTTCTCCCTTCTGATTCACTCTGTGTACTTCCTTACAAGCAGCGCTATAAGGATTGTTATGACCAAGAGGTGCCAGTTATCGTGCAGCCACCTGCCTACCCCCTCACACTGGAGCATGAGTACCTGGATCGTCACCACGGGCTGCGACTCCTGGGCATCTACCTTCAGCGCGGGGTCGGCTGCCGCACTATCCTTGTTACCAAAGACTCGGGCATCTGCCGCCAGCTTCCTGTCATTCTCCTGGTCATTCCCCGGGGCCAGTAGCGCATCATCCTTGCCGTCCAAAACTTGAGCGTCCACCAAGTTCCTCTTATTCACCTGGACGTTCCCCGGAACCGGTAGCGCATCGTCGTGATTGTCAAAGACTTGGGCACCCGTTGTCGGCTTCCTGTTATTCGCCCGGACCTTCTCTTGGGCTTGCGGCACATCATCCTGATTTTCAACTTGGGCATCCACCACGGGCTTCCTGTTATTCACCTGGACATTTTCTGGGGCCGGTGGCGCATCGTCCTCATCGTCAAAAATGTGGACATTGTCCGCCAACTTCCTCCTCCTCTCCTGGCCGTTTCCAGGGTTAGGCGGCACAGGGCTGGGGACAGGCAGAGCGCCCTCGTCTCCAAACGGTAATAAGGGGTCTCCCAGAGCTTCTGCTATCCCCACCGCCGCCACCAGCTCTCTCCCGGCGGGGTCCTCGTGATTTATCGGGATGCCAGGGGCAGCAGGCACCGGCGGCCCGTCCTCTCCCTCTCCCTCTTCCTCCAACTCTGCCTCCGCCACTGCCTCCACTTCTGCCTCCTCATCCTCTTCCTCCGCCACTGCCTCCACCACTGCCTCCTCCTCGTCTTCTTCCTCCTCTTCCCCAACAGCTGCAGGCATCTTCGTCAGCTGTTTCTCGCTCTTGCGCTTCGCCCCGAAGATGACGGCGCCGACGCCCGGGGCCGGTAAGGTGTCGCTCTTCTTCTTGTCTCCTTTGCGCTTGCAGAGGTGTTGGGGTTGCTTGGGACATTTCGTTCTGTCCGCCAGGCAAGCCTGCTTGCAGGGCTCGAATAACTCGGCGTCCGTAAACTTCCACGCAATGTCGTCAATCAGCCGCCACACGTCCAGGTTGCCGTTCTTCTCGGCCAGGCTGCGCAGGCACTCGACATAGGCGACGAGATAGTTGCGCTTGAAGCCGCCGGGCACGGGCTGCCACTGGCCGCACACCAGCTCGGCGCTCGCGCCCACGGGGACGATCACCTGCTCCATGCCGCGGCCCAGGAAGACGGGCACGTACCGGGTGAGCCGGAGCCACGACGGCTTCTGCTTCCAGGTGAAGACGTTGCCGTCGCGCCGGGCGTCGCGCCGCCGCGACACGGACCAGCTGTCGGTGAGATCGAGCCAGTCCCAGCCGGGCATGGGCGTCTGGCCCAGCCGAACCGACGGCCCGGCTTCCTCGTCGGCTTCGGCGTTCTGGACCACGCGGTTATGGATGGCCGTGTATATCTTCTTGATTTCGCCCTCCGCATCGATAGGCTTCGCTTTTTTCCGTCGCTCTCTCTCTTTGGCTTCATCTGGGTCGCCTTCCGGCTCCGGCTCCGGCTCCGGCTCCTTCTCAGCGTTCTTGACTGCCTCGTCCCAGAGGGCGGCATACGGAATCGCCTTGCCCGTTTTCTTCGCCTCGCGGAAGGCCCAGTAGTTGTACGCCTCGTGGATTAGAGACAGCTGAGGCACCATCCACCCGCGCTCTTGGCCGAGCTCCGTTTCGAAGAGGATGATGGGCTCTTTGGCGGAGTGATCCAAGATATCCTTCAGCGACATGCCCTTGATGTCGGCGACCGAGTACTTCAGCCCTGCCTTGAACTTCAGCACTGTCGTAATCGACGCCATCAGGTGACCCAAGACGCTGCCTCCCAGAGTCGCACTGCTCGGCGCCGCCTCTGCGGGGGGCTTTTCAAACCTGGCCCCGGACGTTCGGTATCTCTTGTACAGGCGAAGGCGGGATTCAGTACCGAGCTGCACCGCCACTTGGCTACAGTAGCCAACGATGGCCGTGGCGTTTGCTAGGGTCTCTGGTTTGACGCCTACTAGCCAGCCAGCGCTCTCATCCTCTGCAAAGCTCGGGTGGTTGGGATCCTCGCCTAGGGCCTTTCGGGAGAGGTGCCACTGAACCGTGTTCTCCTGGCTGTCATACTTGGTAGGATAGAGTCGCCAGCGGATACCATCCAGGTACGTGCCCGCATCGGCCTCGTCGTCGTCCTCGAGCGTCACGTCCTGCATGATCTCCGCCAGCTCGACAATGATGCCGAGTGGGACTTGAAGACCAAACATGTCCGGAACAAGCGGTACAGGAAAGCCGTCGGCCACCACGGTGCTAGGAAAGAGGGCGGTCCAGCATATTCCGGGGCCACTGTCCTTCAGTTCGTCAAGCTGTTCGAGCTGGATGCTGAATGCTGACGAGGTGGCCGTGAATCGCGCGGTAGAGGACGAGAGCTTGTTGGATCTTGGTGGCAGTCGGAAAGTGACCGCAATCCAGACCAGGAGCTGTGCCATAGCTGGAACCTGCGATGCCTCACCAGAAAACGTGATAGTCGATGTAATGGTTGGCTCGTCGCTGGTAGCAGGAAGATGAATCTTGAAGGCCCCAACATTTTGATCTGCGGCTACAGTCAGTGGGATCAGGGACTCAGCGAATGTCAAGCAATACGCCTAGTGTCAGCCAGCGCTATAAATCTTCAACCGAACCACTTGGTACAGTTAAGCGCAACAGGCTGGGATGAGATGTCCAATTCGGGGAGATAGAGGTGATGAGATGCTCACCCAGTGGCCCTGCTGGTGAGGTTGCCCCCAAGGCACTCGACAGCGTCTCCAAGAATTCTGTGCCGAGCTCACCCCACGTGTAGCTCACATACTCTCCGCAAGAGGTCGCCCACGCATGGGATGCATCGCCCGAGATGGTGAAAACGGAGCTCAGGGCTGCGTCGCCGTCGAGCTCGGTCTCAATGCAACGACGAAGTTCCCATTGCAGGTTAAATGTCGCCTCGACTATGTCACTGCCTTCCAGGAATCCTCCACCCAAAGTCTGGGCGGCTTCTTTAATCTCCTCCATCACCTGCTTCCGTAGTGGCAGTCTGTCTGCGGCATCGGACCCGCCGTCTGATGGCTGAAGCCCCTCTGGGTCAGTTCTGAGCGAGCCGTCCTCTGCAGGAGATTTGATGAGTGAGGAGTTGTTTCGTGGGGGCTCGCCAGACCTGGGGTGGTTTGGCGATCTTGGCTGAAGCCCCGGCTTAGCTTGGCCAAGCAACTGTATAGAGCGCCTTCCCCGGATTCGCATAGATCGCTGGAGCGACAAAGATATTGCCAAGGTCGTCTTGCCGACGACCCGAGCTTGCTCCATTTGCTCCTGGGCTAACATTCTGGGAACTTCATTGTTTATCTCGACTGTTACGGATGACTCGACTCGTTTCTGGGGCTCCGACCACGACGCTGGCTTCACAAGGTAATCTGGGTCACCAACCTTGCTATTAATCGATTTGAGGCGCTCAACCAGCTCGGGGGCGTAAATCCTATGCAGCCGAGCCACCTCCGTCTTAGTAGCCGTTATGTACTCAGGTACGGGGTCTCCTTTGGAACCGTCAATTCCGGCCACGTGAGCTGTTAAATTTATATCGCCCGCGTCCGCAGATACGGAAGCTCTGTCCGAAGCCTGGACGATGAGCATGTCATGTTCTATCAGATCCAGCAACTTGTGGATGTAGCTAGAACAGCGTGGATCAGCGTGGAGAGCCGAAATCTTCTATTCGCGCGGTTGTGTCAGAATCTCGTACATGTTGAACGAAATGGCGGCGTTGAGGACTGGTGGCATATCTTGGAGAAGGACGTACCCGCGTCACTTGTTCTTTGACCTTGATTACAGAAGGCTTCTCTGGTCCTGTATGGTTCAGTACTTTGAAAAAGGCATCCTCAAAATGGTCCACCATATTTGACATTCTGTCTGCTGAAAAGGCGGTGACACCATCGATTCCGTCGAAGACCCAGCAGACCATTTCAAGGAGGACACAGCCAAAACTCCAGATATCCCAGGTCCGCGACCTGGGTCTATCAATGAAATCGAATTCCGGAGGGCGGTACGTGGCAGTAACGGCCAAGGCCTTAGTTAGGTTAGTGTGTCGGCGGTAGATGGTGGAGGCACCGAAATCAGAGAGTACCAGGCGTCCAGAAGATGTCTCGGAGGATGTCTCAATTGGGTACCAGAGAATATTAGAAGGCTTGACGTCTCCATGTATGCCAAATACGTCCTCTTCCGGGTTTTGGACAAACTTCAGGGCCTCTGCGAGACCCAGGATTTGAGCCGCGAGCCACTGGAGGCCGCGGGTGTCTGGCGCAGTTGGCTGAGCGAGCGAGCCAGGGACAACTCTCCAGTAGGTGGGCAGGCTGCCTTTTGCAAGCGGGAAAACGATGTGAAGCCGCCCATTCTGTTCGTAAGTTGTGAGGATTGTAACGAGGTGGCGATTGTGAAAAGCCCCATTGAACCTCCGGAGGGCAGAAACCTCCCGCCAGAAATCCTGTTTGGTAACGGCTTCGCCGCTATAGAGCTGCTTAACAGCGAAGACTCGGGACTGGATTGAAATCTTGATGGGGAATTAGTGAACATCAGCTTGTGCAGCCTCGCCATCCGTTGCAATTACATACGTCATTGAGTAGCCTTTGAAAGTTATGTGACAGAGGGTCGATGATTACAGAGACAATCTCCCCAAAAGCTCCAGTCATGGGAGCCAGAGATCGCGTGTCGTCCGCCTCCAAAAAAGGTAGAATGTCTTGTTCGTCAAGTCTATAATGATGCACTGTATCGATTGTAGGCTCTTCGAAGAATTTCGTCTTTACCGAGAATTGTTCCCGCAAGAAGGACCTTTTTAAGAATGGTCTCCAGAGAAGCAAACAGCCCAGAGATGTCGCCCTGCCGTTGGCTAGGATTGCTGAGTGCTCCTCGTCGATCTCTAGCGGAAGATCAGCGTCGGTTACACCAGAGTCTACGAAGTCGAGAATGTCCTGTAGTCTGTCGAGGAGGAGGAGGATAGCGAGGATTCGGAGACGTCGTTGGCCTTCATCCCGAAGAGCAACTACTTCATTATGCCGTATAGGTTCCTCCAAGCCGGGTGCGACTTCTGCCGACTCGTATATAGGCCCAATCATGTCAACGGTGAAGTTTGAGGGCCTGCCGTTAAGAAATATTGTTAGAGACTGTAGAACATGGTCGATGCGATCCCGAGTCAATAGCCGGCACAGGATCCCAAAGGGCCAAAATAATTCGCCATTCTTTGCCCTCTTTGCGGAATGCATCAAAAGCTCCCCAAGATCTGTGGCGCCAGCGTCGGAGTCCGAAAAGGTTGCTCGCATGGTCGCGGTTATGAGTTAATATCAGAATAGCTCTAGAAAGTCACAGAAAAAGCGATGTCAGGTAGCAAGGAGCAATGGACCGGGCCTTGGCAACAGTATTTGAGGATGGGGGTAGGAGCGGGAGAGCAAAGCAAGTCGTGAGGCAGATTCTGGGACTGAGAACCACGGAACTACCGTACCCCGCTTCTCATGGACTGTCTGGACTAGGTGCGCTTTTTTTTTCTACGGGCTCACAAGCTATGGCGGTTGCAGGTGGCTGGCTACACCCAATCGCGGACCGCCTATGATACAAAGTACTGTACTTTGTATGCTGTGCAATGTTACATGGTCCAATCGGCCAATTGCTGCAGACGAAGCCAGTGGAGCTCCTGTACAGTATATGCAGGAGCCTGATAATCAAACCGCACCGCAGTGTAGCAGGCAGGTAGCTGATAGTGGAAACTTCTAGAAGAACACGTGAGATATAAAACGCATATAGTGATAATAAGTGATTTTGTCGCACGAGCACCCCGCGTGCTCACGTGGGTCGCTCCTGCCTGGCCAACCAGAAGCTCTCTTAGTAAGCTGAACGTACTGGCACGTATTTATACGCTCGTCAGGCTTCGCTTTTCTTCCTCTCTTTAGAACTAGACAATACAAACGATCTGATGCGAATACTACGCTCTGCTCACTCGCAACTGAACATTGTCACGGGACGTTCGCTTACCTAGCCCTGCGCCGCCTGGCTTCTATACTATACCCAATTCGGACGTGCAATCTTATGAGCAAGGGAAATAAGATCTCAGGCCGTTCTCTCTTCTCTTCTTCTTTTCTCTCTTTATCTTTAGATTCTCCTTAGTATTAGACTAATAGGATTACTCTAATTAGCTTTTAAAAGTACTTCTTTATACCTGTGACGGCAGGAACAAAGCAATGGAACGATGCTCAAAGATCTATGATTCCAATGTCCTACAGAATCTAAAGCTAAGGAGAGAAGGAGTGAGGTGTGGCAGTGGATAAGTAGGTATGGCCAAAACCACTGAAACGCCGAGCTTTGGAAGCGAGCTTGGTTTGAACCATAGCTTGGAACCTTAGCTGAAACCAACCCCTTTGGCTGAAACCAACCATGTGACACCAGCCGTTACAATACCGCTTCTTTACCTGTAAGCTCGTGTATTATTATAGAAAGTTATTACTAGAGGTATAAGTATATAAAGAGACTCTTTAGAATAAGGATATAGCTAAAGTAAAGTAATAAACGCAGAGTACTAAGCTTAGATAAACTTATTAAAGGCGAAGTATATCGTGCTATTAGTAACTTATATAAAGAAGTACTTCTCTTAAGTCTTTAACTTAACTTCACGGAAAACCTTTCCTTAAATAATTTAAGAGATAATAATATATGTAAATAAAGAGATAGCTGCTATAAAGTAGTATTTAAAAGAAGGTTATTAAATCTAGATTAATATTAATACAGAGATTAAGAAGTAAAAGTATTAACTAATAATCTTAAGTAAAGGTAATTAAGCTCTAGTAAAATCCTTAATATAGCTCGATAAGTAGCGTATTACCTCTAGGCTAAATATTAATAAATATAAGTTAATTACGAAGAGAGGATAGCTAGATCTAGGATATAGTATAAATTAGTTAAAGAGGAAATTAAGGAAGATAAGCGGTTATTAGATATAATATTAAGACATATATACTATAATAAGCCTAAAGACTCTTTAAGTAAGAGAAGTAAAGAAAGGAGGATAAGAATAGTAAGGAAAATCTAGAAGCGGCTATTAGGTATCTTATAACTCTTATAATACTATTTACTAAATAGTAAACCTATAGCCAGATTATAACCCCTCTTACTTTCTATCTTATAAGCTAACTAGAATAGTTAATATAACTCAAATGGTAGACAAGCCCTACTAAGTCGCTAAGATACTTTTTGTGAAGCACGTAATAGCAGTGTAGTGTACAAGTAGTCAAGGTAAGTATGCTGCAGAGTGACGCTTGCAAGTGTAACTGATTCCAAGAATTGATTCCAGCAAAAGACTAATCGATGCCCCTTTCCAAAGCTAGGAGCGTCTCCCTATATATTCCCTAGTGCTTAGCCAAGCATGCGAAACCCTTTACTTAATTAGGAAATGCGATCCCATGCGATCCATACGATTCCGATCGCAAGCTTTACCCCAAATAGGAAACTAGATCCACGACATCTGACACCTGTCCATGCGCCATCACGTGTGCCCATCACACTTTTAGAGGAAGAGAATAAGGAAGTGAAGTTATTAGTACGTAAGCAAAACTCGCTCTAATTAGCCGGTTTATTAGTTAATAGGACGAGATACTAGACGTCTAGAAAAGCGTTAGTTAGAGCCGTTCTAGGGTGGAATTCACTTGCTTATGCGATTTATTAATATATTAACTTTAATAAGTGTTTTATTAATAACTAACTAATATTCTCTATATAAACTAAGTATATAGATTTGAGATATAGGTCTCTGCTCTCTAGATACTAAAAAATTATCAAGATTAATATATATTTAGTGGTTTTATATAGTGTAGAAGTAATGATCTAAATAATATGAAATGGCAAAAGCGAATTTTTTAAGCAGAGCTCTTAGCGACGATGTGCCTAACGCAGCCGCGCAGATGAGGTACCTGGTTTTCCTAGGCTTCCGCACGTAAAAGTAAGTCACTTTGTTTCCGAGTCCGGTTTTTGTTATTTCAGACTTGGGAGTCCGGTTTTAGTCATTTGACGTTTTTATTTTCCTTGCCAGAATATTAAGCCCAGACATAAAGTTAACTTGGATAATATCTGATCTGGGATTATTCGCCATAGTGTCAGGCCATGTGTACGTAAATATGGCGTTGGCTTCTCGAGATAGGTAGGAACAAGATAGAAGCGATGTTGAACTTTGGAAAGGGGACGGCGTTAAACTACGAGTCACGTGCTATTTTACGGGAATCCAAAATCTGCTCCGCAAGAAACTATAAGGGAACAGAAGCGGATTCCCAGGCAAAATTCGGTAAGGAAACTGTAGCCAGGCACGCAGGAGGCCAAAATGGGTCCCATATTATGGTGCGCTGGCTGACTCACGGGTGCCCAGGATGATCAAGATACAGTCGGTCCGATCCAAAAGCAACAAATAAAAATAAAAATCACCATAATACTAGTTAATATAAATCGTATTAATTAAAACGATACTATATACTCTAGGGATTAATTCTATACTCTCGAAATTATAATATCTTTATTATTAAGGAAGTTATAATATATGTAATTAAGCAAGCAAATATATTCGCGTTTTATATGGTTATTTTTTTACTTTATTATTACGTGACTGCCCCTTTCCATTAACCGCTTTTCTATAATTATATTAATATCTCAATAACCACAAATATAATTAAGTACCTCTCTTGAATACTTCCAATGGCTACCTCTATAAACCTTTAGAAACGCAAGCGAGCTGATTCAACTCTTGATTTAATTATAGTTCTCACTATAGCTAAAGAAGCTGTAATCCAAGCGACTATTAATGAACGGTATGGGAAACCCTCTAATATAGAGGATAATTCTAATAATTCAGATATTAAACCAAGTAATAAAGAGCTTGAAGATTCGACCCTCTTTTGGGTTTAGTAAAAGCTTCTTATTAGTGGAAATGAAACGATTATTTTAGAGAAGCCTATAGTTACATAGCGAGATTAGAGACTTATAGAATAAACTAGTAAGTTTCTTACTTATTTACTTATTTTTATATTATAATATAAGTATACTAAGAATATTTCTAGCTTCTAGAGGCTTGTATTACTCCAAATTAATAAAGGAATTAGTAAAGCTATTGAGAACTTAATAAATACATATATATAACTAGAGGGCAAAAGATACTTAAGCTATAGTATAATCTAGTAGGCTTAAGATTCCTATAATTATACTATCTTTTAAATAAAAGAGGCTATAATTCGATATTATTAGGGGACTAATTAATATTTCTAGGGATATATAATTAAGGAAAGAGTAAAGGCTTAAAGATAAAGATAATAAAGCAAATAAACTACTTCTGGATACCCTTATTAGAGATACTTATAGATATAACAAAGCTCTAGATATATGAATAACTTATTAGGAAGTCCTTAATAATATAGATATAAAGCTAGTATAAATAAAAGACCCCTATATCTCTCGTATAATTACTAACTTATACTTACTCCGGTAATATACCCAATAGCTTATAAAGCCAGGGCAATATTAGCTAGGAAAAATCAATATATCTCTTTTAGTAACCGCTAGTAATTATTATTCTAATAATAGAAAGACGCTTACTCGGCAAATTAGGGAGTTATTTAATTACTATTAATAATAGTATGGTATTTCGCAAGAGGCTAGGGGTAGTAAAAGAAATAGAGTATCTTATCTGGATAATAAGGATATATTCTTAGCCTATCGAACTTGGTTAATTAATTAAGAGCTTGGAATAATATTACTAAATAATTTCCTAAATACCATTAATTAGGAGATTTTACCTTAATTATTATCGATAATTAACAAGCCTATTACTCGCAGTATAGCTTACTTATAGCTTCCTAGGCTCGGCTTTTATTACCATAAAACTAAGAAAGGGCTTTATATAAATGGATACGAATAACCTAATATAATTCAGTATTATTAAGAGGTATTTTTACTACTAATAAATAAGCTTTTATTATATATAGTTTAATATAAGGAGGATAAAGCTAGTATATGGTATATGATTTAATCTATACTCCTAATTAGAAGTCAGATATATATAATATACTTCTATAATAAGAGCTATTTCCATAGTTTCGATTATAAAAAGAGCCTCTAGCTAGTAGATAATTAGCAAAAAATGCCCGGAAAAAGTAAAGAGAGGCTAATTCACGATTCTGAGTTTGTGGGCCCTAAAAAGCATATTAGGGTACCAAATAATAAAGGTATCTTTATCCCAAATAACCTCGATTTGGATATCTATTAAATTATATATCCAGGCTTAAATAGAAACCCCTAGTAAGATACAAAATAGCTACTAGTTCAGATTACTAGGACGCTCGATATATTTGAATAGAAGCACTCAAACTATATAGCTATTCTAATATTTAATTAGTCTTCTGTATATGCTTCGTATAGCAAAGGTATACTAAACGCCTTTAGTATAAATAAGGCACCGGGGGGGTTAAAAAGGGTAATATTAAGCCCTATAGGAGAGATATATATTTCCCACCGGAGTATATGATTCCGGGGCTATAGGGTACCATTCAAGTTCTTTAGCAACTTAATCCGAATAGAGAAAGAGAGCCTAAAGGTATGGAATAGATTCTCATTAAGCGAGATTATAATATCCCTGGCTTAAGATTTAAGTGCCCAAAGGATACTAGGTATACTATATTTCTTAAATATCCTCCCGCTATTAAATAAATATACTGTTTAGCTCGTATTCTATTAAATCACTAAGACTTCTTTAAAGAGAAGTCTCAAGTTAAAGAGCTTATTATAGAGCGAGGGTATAAGGCTGTGTTTTTACCAAAGTTCCACTACGAAATCAACCTAATTGAGATATATTAGGGGTATAGCAAAACTCGATATTATTAAGTAAAAAAGACTAGCTTCCCAGATACCAAAGTTAAGGTAGTAGAGGTACTTGAAGCTTGTTTGATTAAGACTATACAAAGGTTCTGTAATCGTATATTCCGCTAGATAGATACGTATCGGAAGGGATTGAGTATTAAACAAGCTGCTTGGTATATAAAGAAGCAAAGACGCTATAGAACAATATCTAAAATAGTAATAGAGGAATAGGATAATATATAAAAGCAGGAAAGCGAAGGTAGCTAGAGTTTATAAAATTAGTTTGGCCAAAATTAGCTTGAATCCTATATAACTAGAGCCTTACTATATATATATAATATATAGTACTAGAGAAAGCTATATTTGATATTTAGGAAGGTTCTTCTAAGCTTATAGGGCTTAAATATTAATATTATATTAATAATAAGGCTAGTAAGATACTGTAATATCCCCTTAAAGTACGGGCTCACGTGACCTTAGCAAGTAGAAATATTCGCGTTTTGTATAACGAAAAATCAATAAAATAGAAAGGGTCCGTATACTTTAGGCCTTAATTATTAATAAACCACAAATTATATTAAAAATCCGATTAATAGGTATTTTTCGCCTGGTTCTATTCTATAATTGCATAACTTAGTATAAATTAATTGGGGTTATAGTTAAAAAGTTATTATGGGCGTAAAAGAGCGACCAATTTGTTGCTTTTGGATCGGACCGACTGTATGCTCAGGTTCTGCTCAGGTTCTGCTCAGGCTCTGCTCAGGCTTGCTCAGGCTCTGCTCCGGCATGCTCACCCTCGGCTCAGGTATGCTCACCCTCAGCTCAGGTTAAAGCAGCAGTTGCTCACGCCCAGAGACTAAACGGAACGAGCGAAAGAAAAAATTAATGCTGAGTCTAGGGGTATTCAGGAAATTATGGTGGGTGCGAGGTGAAGTGTGGCCTGAAAACAGGCCTGTACGCACAGACTAGTGGGAGCCGGCTCGTAACCGAAATACCGCGGGTCGTCGTCTCCCTTTAATCCTCCCCTCACTCATTCCCCCCATTTGATCACAACCCAACTCGTCTCAGATTACTTGAAATTACGAATCATGCACAACAAACGAGCCAAGTCGAAGGTATCAAAGGCTGCATCATTGATTAAAGAAACACGTGTTCTTCACTTGAAGAAGTGTTGAAATATGAGGTCAATATGACTTCAGGATGAAAAAGAGTAAAATAGCAGGGCAATAATTGGAAAAGTGGCACCGCAACTCGCATTGGAGATCAAAGTACGCAGGAGACAGGCAGCTGAGGGCATAACATTAGGTATTACGTAGCTATCGTATCGTCTCTACGTCTCAATCCTGTCTATCCTTACTCCTCGACCTCGCTCTCTCCAACTCAGGCGTAGAACCGCCAGCCTTACCCCTATCCTTGATCTCAACAACTTTCATATCCAACCCGACTCTAAACTTCTTGCCCCTCCACATCACCGTCGTGCCACCAAGACAAGCCCAAGCCCAGATCGGCCAAGCGAGGAACTCCCTCCCGACCCAGGCGGCGAACCATTCTTTAAACGGTCGTCGCGAGTGTCCCAGAGGTCGAGTGAAGGATGGAGTGTCATCGTCTAGCTCCACTGACGCTCCGGAGTGAAGTTTTGCATACAAAAGGGTATCCATGCTCATCCAAGCCATCACGCTGATCAGCCAGAAAACGGTAAATGTATGCCAGGTCTGCGGAATCTCAAAAACGGAATGGAACCAAGGCAGAGTGGTGACTGCAAATGCCCCATACGCTGAACAGAGAAGAGGCTCAACCCCTGGCTCTACAAGAGTGGCAAGCGTGACGGTCCATTTCCGTACTCTTAGCCAACGAACGCGGCGAGCGATGTACTCTCGTACTGACATTCCTGCCATGGGTTGGATTGCCAGATCTCCGAATACTAAGCCGTGCTTGTAGAACTTTTGGCCCGCTTTCTCTTCGCCTACTTTCTTTCTCCAGAGGAGGTCGCCGATAAGATGGTCCTCGCAAATATTCTCGGAGAAGAAGTCAATGCCGGGGCAGTAGGGAGAGGCTCCTGAAGTCAGGTAGTTGAGGTGGGATCGCCTGAACATGGTTGACTTGCCGACTATGCAGGGAGCAATGGAAACAGTGTTTATTGCGGTGTAAAATTTTGCGTGGGAAGAGGCCATAAACATTTCTTCGAGACGACCGCCGCCGGTTCGCAGCATTGTACCAGATGTTGACTCGTTCTTGGGTAGGGAGAGGACATCGTATGCTGCTGAGTTGGTGGATGAGACGTGCTGGCTTTCATGGTGGTCTCTGAGAAGTCCCCTGGCTTCTTCTCCTACGCTTGCCCCTACACTGTCCACAACGAGGGGCAGTTGGTGGACAAATTTGTAGGGAATAGCTTTGGTCCCGCGTGCCTCGAATCCGCAGAGCTTGTCCACCATCCGTCCAGCGACTCCCTTTCCAACCCAGACATTACAGTCAAGGATCCAACAGATATCTCCTTTAGCTTCTCGATACCCTCGACTCATATTCCGGATCTTCGGATTCGGTCCCAGGTTGTGTGTTTCCTCTCCATGCCCGGTCAGATTCGGATCTTCTTCTTCAACGAATATCTGTACGTCGAACCTTGGGAAGTCTGCCAGCAGGCGCTGTAATACAGGAAACGCTGGATCGCTGAATGATGCTACACAAAAGTATATCGTCAACTTTTCCAAGGGATAATCTTGTCGGAATGTTGCAGCAAGGCATTCGTAGAGCTGTGGCTCGAGTCCTTTGACAGGTCGAAGAATCGTTATGTGTGGAACGTCTTCAAGCTTCAACGTCGGAGACACAGCGGGCTTCGGCTTGGAGGAGTAATAGCGGTACCTTAGAGTGTGTAAGCAGTATGAACTCCCCAAGTACAGGCGTTTCACCTACAATTGGGTAAATCCTATGACTTGGACGACCAGGATGATAAGGTACCAGAAGCCACACGCCAAGGCGATGGCAAAGGTCCACGCCAGCATTTCATGATCCTCTGCAGCACTTACTGCTCTTGCAGCAGCAGAAGGGGCGTCGCGAGGCCAGATTGTCATCGGAGACAGGATCTGAGTCCCCGGTCGGTGTCACAACTTTCTTCCAATTCAGCGACAGAAATTCCTGATGGTCGGAAGGCCGGTCTTTGAAAGGAAATCACGTGATCCGACCGGGAATTCTCGCTCTAAAAATCTTTGCAGAGTCGAAGGAAAAGAAAAGGCTTCCCTCCCCAACCACATCGAATGATTTTCCACGAACACTTCCCTCAACCTCCTTGAGGAACCATTCTGAAGCTGTAAGTACACGATTATTTTTATTTGACGTCGATGAGGACATGCTGGCGCTGTCGTGCATGCGGTGATGACACAACTCGATGCTTAGAGGAATGACTCTGACTTTATGTCGCTCTTCCATGCTGGCTCAATTCTCTTCGAGAAGACTACAACGGTATCTGAGCATTGCAATAAATTACCATATTTACTGGGAACGGAAACCTTCAGACAACCTCCTTCTAACAGCTTCAAATTCAAAACAGACTCGACATGACCCCACCATAGCTTCATCTTCACAAGATGGCAGACACAGCAGCAATCAGCCCCGTCGACCATGGCGTAAAGACACCGGTCTCAGCAGCGCCTTCAAAACCTCGTGGACCTTCGAAGCGCGATCAACTGAACAAGTTGTATGCTCTCCCCGCACCTCTTCGAACATTTCCCCTCCCGACCTTCGTCCCTCACAACCCTCTCTCACTCTTCCACATTCTGTTTGTGTGGGTGTCCCAAACAATCAATTCACAACCTGCGCATTTCGAACCACTCTATCAGGGTTGGTTCTCGCCGGAAACCCGGTCAGTCCACGTTACGGACTCCCGGTCTATCCGAGGGTTGTGGGAACAAGGATTTTATGGAAAAGGAAGCTTGAGCCGGAGTGAACCCCAATGGCTAGAGTTGCAGAAGACGCGGGCAGGGGCCACCAAGACGAAAAAGAAAGATATAACTGCTTGGGAGGTGACGAATATCAGGCGGGCGGAACGGCAAGAGATGAAGTGGGAGAGAGCAAGAATTGAAAGAGAGGCTATTGAACAGAAGCTGGCGGAAGAGGCTGCCGCGGCTTTGGACAAAGCGATTGAATCCAATTGTACTTCGGAATCGACAATCACAGACGCCACAACCATTGAGGCGGTTGAAGCCTTGCGAGGTTCTGAAGAACCACTGCCGGTCTTCAAGTCGCAAATTTGTGCCCCCGTAGGACCTCTGGAGCTTCTCGCTCTTGCAAACTCGAAAGCTGACCTGGAAAGGCTGCCTTCGAGCGTTCCCTGCTTCGGCGAAAATATGGATCGGAACTTCATCGAGCGATTCTACGCAGCTCCAGTCGACCCCCCAACACTCTTGGCGTTGCCAAACTCAGTTCAAGACTGCCCTCCAAGTGACCCAATATCTCAGGATGTCTTGGGAAGCTTGCCGACGCCACCTCAATATGAAGCACCTGCCAATGGTCATGCTCTACCAAGCTTCAAGCCAAGTTCCATGCCTGCTCCAAGTAACGATGGGGCTGGTTCAAGAGAAAACCATGGACTTGGTATACTTGCATCTGCAAAACCGGAAGAAATTGAGATTGTTGGAGGATCAGACACGAACGAGGACACCGTTGACGAATCGGCTCTTTCAACGCATTCAGAGGATACTCTCGAGACTCATGGTACGCCCCCCAACGGATCTGCTCTAGTCAATGGAGGTCCTTCTACCCCAAGGATAAAGCGCCAAAAGAGCGTTCGATTTTCACCTACCGTCGAGAAGACCACCTTCATTCAGTCTGAACCACCCAGTCCTGAACGAGCGGCAGCAGCAACGACAATAATCGAGGAAGAACCTTTGATCATCCGAGAGCAGGAACATATCCAACTCACCCTTGAAGAGGCGTTCTTCCTTTCCTACGCACTCGGTGCACTGGATATACTCGATCCGGAAACCAAGAAACCAATACCAAATCAAGACCTGTTCTACCTATTCCGCAAAACATCCTACTTCCCACCATTAGCAAATCCATCCATGTCTCCCGATGATCCCTTTATGACCGACTATGTCGTATACCACCATTTCCGATCGCTTGGTTGGGTTCTGCGCTCTGGAATCAAGTTCTCGGTCGACTACATGCTCTACACTCGCGGTCCCGTCTTCACCCATGCCGAATTCGGGGTCCTGATATTACCAGCCTACAGTGATCCATATTGGAGCAGCAACCCTTTCTTGCAAAACTACGTGAAAAGCAAAGAGACACGGACCTGGGCTTGGATGAATCGGATTCACAGAGTGATCACGCAGGTCAAGAAAACATTAGTTCTAGTATACGTGGATATTCCCAAACCTTTGGAAGCCGAAGAAGAGGCAAAAATGGGTATCGATGCTCAGCTAGCGAGATACAAGGTTAGGGAGGTTATGATGACGAGGTTCTCCGCGAACAGACGGAGGGACTGAATGGGGACTTCAATGTAACATTATCATAGGATATCAATGATGTTTCATTGCTCACGAAGTAATGCCAATTTTTGCGTTAGCTTGATTCCGTCTTTTTCCATTCCTCTCGTTGCCTTGCAATCGCCGTTTCCCTGACATCTCTTCCAATGTTCTAATCCCTCCCATTGGTTCCACACTTTCCGCTCAGTAAACAATCTTTATTTCACGATGTTCTTTTACCGCTTCTTTGTTCCAATGATAATGATCTTTGTTTAGATAATTATGGTCTCTATTTAGAGAATAATAATCTTTATTCAGACAATAAAAACTATTTTAGGATAATAAAATTCTTTATTTAGATCATAACGAGCAGAAAGGGGGCTTTCACACAACAAATTTCATCAAATCGATTTGAATATGCTCAATAGCACCCATATAACCTATCAGTCATGTTCCCAGCTGGCTACGACTTCTTATTGCCTTCTACGGCCACTTGCAACTTGAAGGCAGGAAGAACGGATCATCTCCTTCAAAAAAAAGCGCCGGTAGAATGTTCACAACGACTACAATGCCCTTGATACTACAGGAATGCCCGCCGCAGACCAGCAGACCAGAAGGGAAAATTTTGCTAAACTCGAGGAGTAACTTAGGATTACTCTGTTAAGATCCAGCGGATTGACAGCCTTCTGCGACGCCCATCGTCGTGTAGATAGGTTTCCACAGCAGAGAGAACCCTTTCTGAGACCAAATCTCACGAGTAGTCCATGTTTTAGTTTCATTTGTTGAGCTTTTGCAAAGTTAATTCTCTCTCTCTCTCTCTCTCTCTCTCTCTCTCTCTCTCTCTTCCGATATGTATATATATTAGATCGAATAATTGAATTTCAGTTTCTATATTAACCTCAAACTCATCTATTGTGATCTTAGAGCTAGACGCCTCCACTAAACGACCGAGCAGAATCTAATATATTCTACGTACCTCAAAGTTTAATTCAACTTGTCGTAATTTTATCTTCTTACCCCTGTTCTTTTCTTTATGCGATTACTCAGGAGGTGTGACGTGTAAATACAGAAATAGATAAATCTTTAATAGGAAAATGCGAAGGGCAGCTGGAAGAAGATTTCCTGCCTAAAAATCCTATGCTAGGGACGACATAGAGAATGGCGGTTCATGATACTGCTTTCCAGTGAGTCAACCCCTGCGAGGTGATAGCGAATTGACACTGCGAGGGTGGCTGCCAGCCTCCTTGTAACTCCGCTACTCCCTTCATTCCCACCACTTGAATAGGGATTGGCATTCCTTTGTCCAGGGCCCTGGCGATGGCAACTCGCAGGATCGCAAACTTTTAGAGCTTCTGCCCAGATTCCTTGCTGTGCAGCTGCAGGTATGTCTCGCCTCGCGGGAATTGTGGGCTTTTGTCGGAAACATCAAAGTTAGTCGATTCGAAGTGATAGCTAATCTCATCATCTATGGTCATTCAAGTAAGAAAGCCCAAAGATCATTCCTCACGACTTCGGCCATATCACCATCACCTACAAATCGCTTTGTCCATGTCAGCTATCTCATGCAGTCCCATCCCTCGTCATCTGTTGGTAAACCGGGTAGGATAAATCTGTCTAGCGCCACCACCTGCTGCAGAACTCCTTCCAGGCGCCAAAGGTCTTTTGCTGTCGCATGATCCCAATATCCAGGCTAATTTGAGTCACGAGGAGGTTTTAACAACCTGTCAATGTAGCAGAAACTTGGAGGACTGCGACTAGGCCGTACAATCCAAGAACAATCAGACTTTAGAGATATTACTCCAATGCACTGAAAACGTCAGGCCTTCGATAACGGCGACTCTGTGAGGGACTCGGATCCTGAAAAGGGGGACGTAACGGAAATCTGGATCCAATGTTCGATCTGCAAGATCCCAATACAATACGACTCGATCCCCCACCACTATATGACCAAACTACCGGATTTTACGTTCGGCCCTGTTCCAGCTGTGGTATTACAGTATACGCGAGATACGGCGCGAAAGGTTATGTGGCGGGCAGGGTAATCGTTTTCAGGGGCCGTGTCTGTTCGCCAGGCTTGCTGCGATATGATTAGAAAACTATTTACTTAATGTTAAGAGTGCTGTACAATACAGGGAGAGAGAGAACGGACCTTTGAAAGATCAAAAGGATCGAAGCTGGTGGGAGGAGGGTGGGAACCTTTCCCCCCCCCCCCCCCCTTTTTTTTTGGTGGGGTTCCCACTTATGAAATGGCCCAAATATATGTTTAGGCACTATCGACTTTGGAACTTGCTAAACACTGGAGGAAAGATTAGAAAGTTATAATGCCTTTAACTTGTGAACTGGTTATAATTAATATAGCTTACTGTTTTGTTTCTAATATTTGTCGCGCAATATAAATAGGTCGCGAATAGAAAATCGATTCCAGTAGTTTTGGAAGGTTTGGATTGTACCCGGCTAGGCACGGATAACGTCGGCTTATAATCTTAAGCCTGTATAGATTTAAATAAGCAAATTTTGAGAAAATTAAATCTGGGAGGGTTAGTAAATTCGCCCAACAGTGTTCCATATCGGCGATACTAACACCCCAATAGATGGCCGAGTGGTTATGGCGTGTGGCTCAAGAAAATTTATTTTCTTTCTGATTAAAAATCAGTGAGACTTCTCATAGGGAAACCTGCAGGGGTTCGAATGTACGTCCTGATTTTTCAAATAAAAGGAATTGATTCTAACAATCAAATAGCCCCTTCCTCTCATCAGCTATTTTTTATTTTATTTTTTTACAACCTTTTTTTGAGGGTTGGTGGGGGGCGGGAGGGAAGGGGGGAAGCGCATAGCCAGAAGCGACAATAAGAGTCAAGCGAGCGCACAGGCAGGCAGCCTATGTTAATAGCCACATGTGACTAGGCAAAGGGGACCCAAAATCAACTCTGGTAGGGGCCTTGTTATAAGCTTGACAAGGGAGCGAGAACGAATACTACTATCCCCCCCCTTGAATACTTACAGTGGGTCCTATAGTAACGCCACCCTGAAACCTCGTTTATAACCCCCAACTAGGAAATATCAGGTGCTCTCCAGAATCGCTATTGGCCATACACCCTTGAGTTGGTCAGTGCAGAAGTGGTGTTATCCCAGGACCCACTGTAAGTATTCAAGGGGGGGGTAGGGGGGTAGTATAACATTGTAATAGGTTCAAAGAGGTGGCTATTTTCTAGGCTAATAGGCACCAGTAAGATGTTTTATTCAGATAATATAGAACCTATAACCGACTAGAAGCGGATCCTCTGAGTATGATTCAGCTGACCATTAGCGAGCTTAGGACTTAGCGCTCAGCTCAAGTTGAAATAGTGACTACTCAGGACTAACAGCGGAAATAGAACACGCTCATATTGACATTCCAGTTATATCAAGGCTCGCAAATAGGCATTAATATATGGGATCTTTTTAATATATGAGACAGATTCTATTATGGACTCTACTCCGCAGGCTGCAATCAAAATAAAGGGGAGATGTGGCCAACGGGATTGAGGTTAATTGATACAATATAGACAGCTAGGAATAGTTTAATTTTAGATTTAATTGATTTATGTTGTGCTACCTCCGGTCGCCGTAAGGCTGAAATTTGTGTACTTCGAAACAAGGATTCGTAGATCGAGACAAGGAACAGGCAAGGCGACACGTAGGTGGCATTGAAAAAAAAAAAAAAAAAAAAAAAAAGGCGTTGTATCAATCCAACTTGCAAAACGATATCCCACAGAAAACAGAGATACAACCCTCAAGTTTCCGTGGTATTCCGTTGAGTGTCGAGTGCAATATAAGTAAATGGCATCGAACCAGAGAGTTGGTCGAGCAGGATATCGAAGGTGCTGCGATACACCCGCCAGATTCTGTGTGGCTGGTGAAGTATTTTTCCCAATGCGGATGGGGAGAGAGTTTGACTCTGAGCCCCAGGTGTACAAAAACGCTTGGTAGTTCGGAGGGGGGTTCTGAGAAAATGTTTTCTTTCACATAGAAGGGGGAACTGTCCTGTTTCTGCTGGGGCTGAGGAAGGCAATGCTTCTCTACGACTGCTAGGGTGTCGCAGGTGGGCAAGAGGATGCCCTTTTTGTTGCAGGGGATTCACAGGAGGTCCCATATAGATCACAAACTCCATTACTGTGCGACGAAGTACCGCTCACACTCCCACAGTTGCATCATTAAACGTCCCAACGTGATGAAACTAGCCTGATGGAGTATTCATGTTGTCTCACGCCGTACAAAGTTGATCAAGTCCCAAGTCAATATCTCTCCACCTCCATCCCGCAACTAGCCACAAGGTTTTACGGACCTATAAGTCACACCTCTGGAAAAGGCCATAGCAGAAAAATAGGCATTAGATTGCGAACCGTTCTAATTATATTACAAGATTAAATTCTCATTATTATATCCTGCCCGGTCCCTGTGCTGATTCGTGCCGTGAAAGCCTCACCCGAAGCCTTATTAGTGTCCTATTTGAAATAAACCGAGAGGCGATTCCCAGCTCCGCAGTACTCAGTCACATCGCCCGGACAAAGCATAGAGCAATCAGAATTCGGTGCTGCCACAGAACCTTGCCCGAAGCTGTTTCCACAGTAACCTATCAAAACCCGTCAGCAATCTCCTTCCTATCCGGAAATCAAGGAGAAACACTCACATTCTCTGCCATACTCGGTGCCCCAATAAGCGTAATTCCCACAAAAGCTCTCGCAAGCCTCGAGCGTCATCGTATCACTCGCAGTAGCCGCCGCAGCAAGTGCTCTCGTCCCATTCCCTTCCGTCTGGCATCCAAAGTACGTGTACGGTCCCACAGTTGGCTTGATGGCAGGGGTCTGGGTTGGAGAGGCCGTTGCGGAGGAGGTAACTGTTGCGATGGTTTTGTTGAAGTTGTACACGTTCAGTCGACTGGCGCCTCCACAGTACTCGGAGAAATTGCCATTGCACAAGCTACTGCAGCCACTGAGACCGTCCGGGGTTGTGGGAGCAATAGTTCCACCATTGGTGAAGGTGTTTTCGCACCAACATTCGCCGCCGTATTCGCAACCTGCAAGGATGTAGCCTGCTGCTTGGCAGGCTGAAGTGCAGCCTGCCACGGTCATGTTCGAGGCACCGCCTGGAACAGAAACGCCGACTCCGAGAAGTCGGCCTGTAATGCCCTCCCTGATAAAGGGTTAGTGCGAACATACTAAGACTTGATTGAGAGATTCTCACGTATAGCACCCCACGTAAGCCCAATTGGGAGGGCCCGGATCCGTGACTGGTCCAGTCTGTCCACTCCAGAACAGACTCAACCTGTTTGGACCACCACACGACTCTGTGGCGTTACCGGTACATGCCATGCTACAATCTGTTGCATTGACAGCAAGAGCTCCTGGGGCAATCGTGGAGTCGCAGACTATAGAATGTTATTAGCAAGTCGGCTCTCCGGGTATTGAAGGGTCATCATTTAGGAGCTTGAGGATAACTCACAACATTGAGATGCGTATTCAGTTCCGGCATACAGAAATCCTTTGGCGCTGCAGAAACTGATACATGATTCATCTGTCATTGTGGTGTCGTTGCTGTAGCTCGCTCCGTTTAGAGTACGCCCGACTTCGCTGTTAATATGTGAGCGGGAAGTTCCATTAATGAAGGGACGGAACTTATTCATAACACCTACGTATAACATCCTTGATATGACCAGGAACCAGGAAGTGCAGCTGGTGGAGTGAGAGCGACATCTCTCTCATAAATTTGGGCATCAAGAGCAGTAGAGAAATGAATCTGCCATGAATGAGCTCGACATTGGTAAAATAAATATCTGTGGGACTTACTTGCGACAGCCAAACGCTTGCCCCAAGAGCATATTGAAGAAGTAAGGGAGCCATGGTGAGAAGTTTGCAGTGAAAAGTGACGGAAAGAAATCTCTTTTGAGCTTTATTTTATATTAAATTTAACTCGACAAAATGGCGGCGCTGGCACCATCCCGGTAACCGACGTGGTATTGAGATTGAGGCTTCCCGGACGATTTAGCCGTGGAACCCAAATAGGAAGCAGGAGACTGCGCGGTTGAGGCACAGAACGGAAAACGGCAGGGGACGGAGATTTCAGTTCTTGGCAACCGTTTTTGAATATCAATAGACCAGAATCTATATTAATTGACTGCAACTTCTGGGGGAAGCTGTCCGCTTCTAGTGCTCACTAATACATCAAGACGTCCCCAAGAAAAGCGTCAACCCAAATTAGAAGATCCAGGACATTCAAGGCTATGCGAGTAGTTACACTTGTGGCCATTTGTTACCCTTGTTTGATTCATTCGTAAATTACTCCATGTCTTGTGCGACCTTCCCCACACCCCTCGATCAACTCTACGTTGTAGACAGTAAATTACGTGCCAAGATAACACGAAAACCACCCAATGGGTGTGATGGCCTGCTGATAACTGTAGGGTTTAGACCTTTTTTGTAATAAGATGATGCTTTCGATCTATTTTCAGAAATTTGATGTATTCAAGTTCCACACAGCCAGATTTGTGACATGTGCAAGTCCGAAATGCCTCTAGATCGAGGGCTGCTGCTTAGACAAGTTGCAAGGTAGGTGGAGAACTTCCTTGGTGGAGCAATTGAACTCTCCATTGTTCATCACTTTGCTTTCTCGCGATTAGATAGAGAAGGTGTGTTCAAAGACTCAATACTGGCGAGAATCCAAGAGGCTGATTCCTTCGGGAATGGCTCGGAAGCACAGAGATTATTCAAAGAGCAGCAATTTAGGGGAATACACCAGGCACAGAAGTTAGGCGACCTGTCATTCCCGGCAGCTTCAGGGGTACTGCGGGGTACTTTCCGGGGTGACCATGACCGGAACCTGTCCCTATTGACAGCTGTAAATAATTGAAACTGGCGTCAAGCATTCTGCTGTGATGTAGGAGTGAAACTTGGGGCGCAACTGCTTCTCTCAGACTCATGACTCCTTGGCAGAAAGCAGAAGACGGCATGGTGAGAAAGAGGTGAAGCTGAGGCTGGTCGCAAACGGACGGAAACGCGCTAGAGCTCGCCTAAAGCACGCTATTTTTCACTCCAAAGCTTCTTTATGCCATCTCCAACTTTCCAACCGTCCTCCACCTCGCAACCTCCGGCACCCTTTGACAATCAGGACCACGGTCCGCGGTTGCGTGGCTGAATTGGCCACTCAGCACCAAGCTTTGCTAACATGAAGATAATCAATCTATCGACGCCGACTCGCAAGCTGTGGAATCGGAACCAATTCCTCGACCTTGAGATTGAACGACTTCAAGAGGAGATTGGCGTCAAAGAGCGCATCGGGATACCTTTGCCAGTCAACCTCAAGGCGCAATTTCTCACAGTATTGGAGAACTTCGTCAACGTACATGCCGAACTGAAGAACATACAAGAGAAGACGCAGTTGCAACAGAGCCTCCAGGCTCGCGAGTTCACAAGCTTCATCAGCCTCCCCGCCGAGCTACGACTGAAGATCTGGAGGCTCGCCTTTGCCTCTCATACTCAACCTCGCGTACACTATGTGCGCGTCGCCAATTCGAGCGGCGACCGGGACGTCACTTTCATCTCGAATCAACCTGTCTCTCCCATCCTCCACACGAATCACGAGTCCCGCTCCCACTATTTCCTCAAGACCCAGTCGACATTCGCATTCGAAACATACATTGATTTCGACACCGATGTCATCTACATCCCTGACTTAGAAGACCGCCGCTTGTCCTTCCGCGAGTTCCTGGATTTCAAAGATTCGCAAAAGATACAAAAGCTGGCCCTGCGGAAGAATTTCTTCTGTGACATCCCACTCCCTGGCCACTTTTCCAGCAAGCACCTCGAGATGGCGGATAGTTTGCGGAACTGGAATCAGATGATTGTTATCTTTGAGGACAAACGACCTGCGATTGAGGTTTGGAAGGATACATCGATGGTGTTTAGGGAGTTCTCTGCCAGGCAGAAGAGAGCGACGGCGGAGAGGTCATATGTGCGGCAGCAGTGCAAAGTTTTGAATAGCATGCTAGAAGGGATTGATGAGGAGACTATGGATTTCCGATTTGGTCAGCTTGAAAGTGGCCTGGATGATGTCGGCCTTCTTACTGCCTCTTTAGCCGAGGGCCTGGAGATATCCAGTATTTGATGCGAAAGTGGCTCGTGATGGACGAGAATGAAACTCAGCGTTGGGCTATTCTTCGATTCGTGATAGGACATCGTTTCGGGTTATTTCGAGATACCCCCAATTGGCGTTGAAGGTTTGGATGACCTGGATGAAGTAGACCATCAACCCCTGAAAGCCTCCGAATGCTCTTTGCATCAGACCCAAATAACACTCCCAAGAGTGCATATCTTGTATAATCAAAGGGGATTTGGGCAATAATGATAATGATAATCAGCCATGGCTTCTTTGCAGGTTCCGGCTTCGATGCTTTTTGAACTTTCTTTCACTATTCACTCAAGACGAAGTAGTTCTTCGCCGCCATGCCTCCTCCCATCAAAGCTGGCCCCAAGCCCAATACCATCTTCCTCTTTTCTCTCTCCATTTCCTTTGCAGCCCTACGAAAACCATTCTTCATCCAGTTCTCGACTTCTCATCGAGTGTGATCCGGATCTCTTTGATTCAATACCTAATATGCAACCTCTCCCTATTCTCTCCCTCGCAATAGACCCGCCAACTTAACCCCCATCACCTTACCAATAAACGACAACTTCCCCCTTAACCACACCTTCCTCGTACTTCATGCAACCGTATTCTGCATGCGCGGAAGTAATTCGATGTAAGAGCTACGTAGGTATTGTGGTATACATGCAGTGGATATTGCTGTGCTTCGATGGAGCGCGGTCGATATGGTTTGCGGCCCCATTCAGGTGCTTCGTCGGAGATTGCGTCGCTCCACTGTTCGCATTGGTTCTCGATTCCTAATCCCGACCTGTGGAGTTGCAGACGATTGAGGAGCCATGGTGAGTCTTGGGTGCTGACGGAAGTGTTGAAGAGAGCTTGGGCTGCAGTGCAGAAGTTCGCGATGCCCCAGCTTACTCTCATGAATTTGGCACATGGATGAGGGGAAGACGATTCCAGGATATTGGTCTGGTCGATCCAGGTTAGGATATCGTCGGGAGCGGTGGTGTGGCTAGCTACGCATTTTATTACCTATGAATGAGCCATGAGCATTGTTTTCAATACTGGCAATGGGGGCGGGAAAGGTGTCGAGACGAACATTGTGTACTAATGCGAGGCTAAAGAGGTTTAACAGTATCTTGGTGCCTTGGTGCTGAACTTGTCTTGCCCGTGAGCAGCAGTAACAATATTCGACCGGGATCGTGAGGAGAGTTCCAAAAGCCCTTTGGAGCTGATTTGATTGATATCTTCTAATTGGAATAAATTAGACGTTGCTCTGTGAGGAGAAACGATGAAGCCACAGGGGTATCCTCCGCAGCGTCCTCGACATTCCTTAGTTTCGTCGCCATACAGCTTGCAAGGCTTCGTCAAAATGATCACTCAACATGGGTTGGTTATAAATATCTCGGACAAATTCGAAGTTGCCATTGGTGAGAAAGTTGGATTGGAAACTGTAGCCGGCGAAGAAGCGGGGGATGGCCGCTTCTTGCAAATTGTGGACACGGATCTGGGAACTTCGGCTACTTCTGGAGATCGTCGAAGGCATCGCGTTGCGGTCGGAGAAGTCTAAATTTGTTATTGTCTCGAGCGTCAGTTCTTGACTTCGCTTTCTGATTCTAGGATCTTGCATGTCTCGGAAGACTAGCAATGCCCCATCGGGATACCTTGGGCAGATTGGGCGGGACTTGGAGCATCGGAGGCAGAGGGGTAAAGTTCTGCCGCACTTTCAGACCAAACCATCAGTAGATAATGCATTTCCGATTAGAATTAGGAATGCCAACCTTCACTTTGCGTAATTTGCAATTCAAGCACCCTCGACTAGTAGTCGCGAACCGGCATTTCGACAACACCACAGAGTTCAAGTTCGGTCGCTATGCACGAAAGCTATGTGTGGTTGTATAATAAACAAAAGGGGAAGAACGCGGGGATGGGAACTATTTTTAGTTCAATATTTCTTAACCTGCAGGTTCATTCGTGCGAGGAAGTCAATTGAAGCGTTCGTCTACTTCATCCCAGTGCATCAGTGCGGCACAGCAGCTGTGCATCATTGCCCCTAAACTAATTCGGGAAAGTGACAGTGGAGGTATCAGCGGCATCAAGGCGACCGACTATGAATCAAGACAGGAACGAGATCCGACTTCAATGGTTATAATCTGGGAGAAGGCGTTGCAGAACTGTCAGTGCGTGTTGAGCTTGATTCGAGGAGCAGGTGCTTCCCCACGTCTTATAACCTAAAGAAAAAGGGGCTCGTTAAAAATCGTCCATTCGCTAAAAAGCGAGGAACACCAAAATCGCTACCTTTGGAAAATCACACCAAATCTCAATGCAACCCCTAAAACTCTTTAAAATAGCTTTGTGAGGCAGAAAAGAAGCATATCTAACTTTTGTGGAATTTTCTCAATAATTAAATATAATACGGAATTACGAGAATTTTTATATTGTGAGAGTCAAGGTTATGCCCGGCCTCGCTTAGCGAGTTGCACGATTTTTAACGCCGCCCGCCTTCGTACCACGAGTGCGAAGGACGACGTAATCATTCTCTCAGTCGGAGTGAAAAGTGACCGATTTTGACACAATGCGCAAATGAGTAGATCCGTTTTATTATCAACGAACAAGTACATCAAAGATAGAATACTTTTTAATATTAAGGTTCAGTGACTTGTCAAGAAGTACCCTGAAAGCGGCATCAATTCCGGATAGTGGGAGGGCGAGGAATAAAGAATTGAGTGGGTGGCTTTTGTGAGTTTTCACGTACCAAATCGGCTACTCTTCGCTCCGACTGAGGATCATCAGCCAACCATTGCGCTGGGAGGAAATATAAATTCCCCTCCCCTCCCCTCAACAGATTTCATGAGTCCACCACCCTCTACTTTCAAAACAATGTCTCCAACCTTTAAACCCAAGATCGCGATTATCGGCGCTGGCCCGGCAGGGCTGACTCTCGCCCGGCTCCTGCACCTCCAAAACATCCCCTTCACAATCTTCGAGTCCGAAGCCTCCGCAAACGCTCGCTCGCAGGGCGGCACGCTCGATCTCCGCACCGCGACCGGACTCGCGGCCATCACCGCTTGTGGACTTTACGACGAGTTTTTGAAATTGGCGAGATACGATGGCGAGGCGTTGAAGATTATGGATAAGAAGGGGAAGGTGTGGTTTAGTGCGAAGGGGAGTGGGGTGGATGGTGGCAAGAAGAAGAAGAAAGATGCGCGGCCGGAGATTGATAGGGTTGTATTGCGGAAATTGTTGTTGGAGAGCGTTCCTGGAGAGAGCATTAAATGGGGCAGAAAATTGAAGAGAGTTAGCCAGGAATCTGGATCTGGAGATGTGCGAATGGTTTTCGAAGACGGGGAAGAGGTTGTTGGATTTGATTTGGTTGTGGGAACGGATGGGTGCTGGAGTAAGACGAGAGCGTTTCTGAGTGATGAAGTTCCGGCTTATTCGGGTGTTTGTGGTATCGAGCAGAATATTTCGAACGCTGAAGAAAGGTTTCCTGAGATCTGTGGGCTGGTTAATAGAGGTAGTGTTTTTATATTTGGTGATGGGAAGAGCGTCAATGCGCAGCAGCTTGGAGATGGGAGCATCAAGGTCGCTGAGTATGGAGCGAGGGACGTAAGCTGGCCAAAGGAACATGATGCTGCGAAAATGGATGCAGTTGCTATTAAATCTCTCCTTTTGGAAGAGCACGGGGATTGGGGGCCCGAGGTGAAGAAAATGCTTGAGTCGGTCGATGAGAATGGCGCAACGATGAGAACGCTTTTCATGCTGCCAATAGGCTTCCGTTGGGAGAACAAGCCTGGTGTGACTGTTATTGGGGACGCCGCGCACGTCATGGTACCCTTTGCGGGCGAGGGTGCCAATCTGAGTATGGCAGATTCGTTATATCTGGCGCAATGGATCCAGAAGTCGACGGACAAAGCATCACTGCATGGGAATGTTGCCAAATTTGAGCAGGAGTTGTTTGTGAGAGCGAAACCTGTTCAGCAGATCTCGTTCGACAATATGAAGGATATGTTCTTCACTCCTGGGGCCCCGAGAACGGCAATTGAGAGTTATCTGACGAGGATGGTAAAGCATATGGCAGGGCCGGTCATCGGAACATTGGCAGGAGCGGCGATTTACACCTACTATTGGGGATTTAAGCTGATGAATTGAGAAGTATTGACTTGGCAAGTGTTGATCTAGGGAGTCCAGGTGTTGGTAGAGGGGATTGTCGATTATCGATTGAGGGTTTATGGGTGTGATGCAGAGATGAATTACCAATGGCTTTATTCTCCACTTCTAGATGGTACCAGTTCGGGCATTGAATTTTAAAGAGTAAATCAACAAAGTCATCTGTTTCAAAGTCTTGCTCCATAATTACATCCTGCTCCAGAGGAGCCTATCGACTGTTCCGCCGTCTACAGTATAAACAAGTGGTTAGTGCTGACATGTTCACAATTTCAGATTATTACAGCTCCATCCCATTTAACCCAGTGAGGAGCATCCTCTGACTTGTGTTTTTGAGGCACTTTTTCCTCCCGGAGACATTCTGACTTCAGGTTTCGTTCTTGGCCTCTTCCAATCTACTCTCATCAGTCTCCTCAGAACTTTCAGATTCCTTCTTCCCCTTGATGCTTTTCCACTCCACGAAGAGGGCTCCCAGAATCATGACAGAGCTCAGGGCGGCGGCCATGGTGAAGACTAGAGTCAATGAGTAGTTGTATGCGCTTACAACAGTGCTAAGCTGGCTCGCCGGCACAACACGTCGCAAATCAGTTGCACCTGTGTTGACAATAGCTTCTGCATCGAGGCCCGCAACGCCAGAGAGTCGGTCCACGAGCTTGGTCGAGAAGATGTTTTGACTGACAGTGAGGAAGATGGAGCCACCAAGCTGCTGCATGAAGAACATCATGGCCACCCCGATAGGTAAGTTAGCGCGTGGCAAGACGTTTTGAGAGGGGGAGGGTGGAAATCTGAAAGCCGCAGCCGAGGCCGAACCCATAGATGACCTGGTATCCCATCCATTCACTGTGGTGTGAGCTCGGCGTGAGAGTTGAAAGCAAGCCGGCGCCAGTGGCACAGAGGGCTGGGGCAATCAATAGAGCAGGAACATAGTACCCGATCCTCTCCGTAAATATGGCGACGAGAATACTCAGGATCACCATGGACACGAGTAATGGGGTCATGCTGACACCAGAGTGTAGGGCTGAGTCTCCCTTAGCGACTTGGAACCAACTAGTCAGATAGTAGAGGATAGACATCAGCGCCCCAGACATCAGGAACATGAAACTCATGCTGCCGGCAACGGAGCGATTTAGGACAACTCGGGTTGGTATTATCGCTGTCTCAGACATCATGACCTCAATGGCGATGAAAATGACGAGCAAGACTCCAAAGCTGACAAAGAGGCCGATGATCTTCGGTGCTGACAAGGGCGAGGTAGAGCCTCCCCACTGAAGTGCTAGGATAAGGCATGTTATGGATGGGAGGAAGAAGAATATTCCAATGGGATCAAGGTGTTTGATTTGGGCAAAAGAAGTGAGCTTCTCGTGCTTGGGTGATTGAATGTGAAGTAGTAGAAGTATCGCAAGGATTGTTAAGCCACCGATCGGCAAATTGATGTAGAAACACCATCTCCATGTTCTAAAAGAAGTTAGTAAGCTCTCTTGCTAGGTACCACATTGTTTTACACTTTATCCGTGAAAGGGCCACCCATAAAAGGGCCAAGCACACTTGCAACACCAGAAGCCAGGCCGAATAAGGATGTGTAAACAGGAGGTTTGCGAAGGGGAATGAGTGGAACTATCATCATTCCTCCAGTGAAGATGCCCGCCGACGCCAAACCAGTAATGGCACGTCCAATAATGAAGGCCACGGAGGTGGGGGCAGCGCCGCATAGGGCTGAGCCAGCCTCAAAGATGACGAGGGAGATGACGTAAATCGACTTTGTCGAGTGGAGCTGGTAGATGCGTCCAGAAATGGGAAACAGACAGGCGGTAGCCGGCATGTAGGCACTGCCGTACCCGGAGAGAGTCAGCAATTGCTATATATAGACTATCGGAGCTAACAGGAACATTGTCTTGTGAGATATTCCCGAGACAGTCACATACAGAGGAATACATTTTCTTCCCCAGTACTTAAGGTTACAGCCAATATCCTCAATCGAATTGAACTCGTCAGTGATCTTTGGAATTGCAGTTGCAATAATAGTCCGATCCAATGCAACGAGAAAAGTAGACAGATAAACGCCAGTCATGATCATCCAGAACTTCTGAGATTTTGGTTGGTAATTCTTTTCGGTATCTTCATATTGGTCGTCGACCGGCTGAGCTGGCTTGTCTGCTATTGGCGTCTTGTCTGTGGATTGTAGCCCAGATGGGGCTGTGGGAGAATCCATGATCAGCTTATTCCACGTCGAATGAGTAGATATATGAATACAGTCTTAATGGACCCTAAGTTGTGTTTGTCTTGGCTGAGCCGGCGCGCCATGCTGCTACTACTATGCAGCAGCGAAGTTTGTCTTCTATACTGGGACATTTCTCTTATTTCGATGCAGACAGAAACTGAAAGTCGTGTGCGTCACAAGAGGGCAACTTCGTGATGGCGGGGGGATCAAAAACAAGAGTGAGAGGAAGGAAGAAGTGTTTCGGAAAGTTAGTTAAAGCCCGAGCGACACGTGATATCGCCACTTCAGCCCGAACGACCTCAACTGTCCCTCAACCCTCGGGGACAAGACGAACACGCAATTTGTCCCATATTTACTCTCGTCTCTGACATCCGGAAGATCGCCTCGGCGCGCATCTCTGGCTCAAAGAGTGTCACCACGGCCCCACCAGCGTTGCAGCCTACATTTGCAACCGTCCCACCTCAGACTCTCAGAGTGACCTTACCCCCTGACATGTCTCCTCCGGTGCCTTCTCAATTCTCTCAGCCATCGAAGCCACAGAGGGTATTGGCATGTGTACGCTGTCAGCACCGGAAGGTGAAGTGCGATCGCTGCTTTCCCTGCTCAAATTGCAAAGCGTCCAATGCACAATGTGTGCCGGCGACGCTGACCCCACGCGGCAGGCGGAAACGTCGATTTCCCGAGCGAGAGCTTCTTGAACGCCTTCGCAAGTACGAGGACTTGCTCCGGCAAAATAGTATCAACTTTGAACCGCTCCACAAGGACGCAGCTGGGAAGATGGGATCTCCCAACGCGCATAGAGAGAACGAATCGGATGATGAGCACCCCGGGGCTCTCGGTGCAGATCCGCCTTCCCCTGCAATAACCGTCAAGTCTGAAAGAGTATATGAAGCCAAGTAAGTGCTCTCCAAGAACCCAGTGCAAGCTTGCTAAACCTCCCAGGAACTTCTTGCACGCCCTGAATTCAGGAGTAAGTCTGGATCATGTGTAATTTCAAGTCTAGGGCAGTTGACAATTGAAACAGTACCACGACTCCGACGACAGTGATTGTTCACACGATGATGTGCGTGAGGTGGTGTTCAGGAAGAGTTGGGTCCAGTTATTTGGCGACAATGACTACCTCCTATTTGGCTCCCCCAATGCCAACGTCGACCTCTCTACTCTGCACCCCGAACCAGTCCAGATCTTCCGACTATGGCAAATGTACCTGGAAAATGTTGACCCGCTGCTCAAGGTCACACATGCTCCCAGCATGCAAGGACACATCATAGAAGCTGCCAGCAGCGTCTCAAATATCAACCCTAACCTCGAAGCGCTCATGTTTAGCATCTATTCCATGGCCATTCTTAGTCTCGCCGTGGATGACTGCCAGGTTATATTTGGTTCGTCTCAGGAGGACCTTTTAACGAGGTTCCAGTTCGGCTGTCGGCAAGCTTTACTTAATTGTGGCTTTTTACGGTCTGTTGATCGTGACTGCTTGACTGCATTATATCTCTACTTAGTAAGTCAGTCCGGTGGTTATGTTTATGCTTTCTGATAATTTTAGGTATCGGTCAGACCTCGGACAGTCCCTCAGTCTCTCTCTGCAATGCTTGGGGTCGCGATTCGGATTGCACAACGCATGGGTATTCATAGCGAGTCTGCGTTAGCAAGATGCCCCGCTCTCGAGGCCGAACTGCGCCGAAGACTCTGGTGGTCGCTTGTACTCTTCGACACTCGCATTAGCGAAATGGCTGAGCACAAGATATCAACGCTAGCCCCGACCTGGGACTGCAGGATCCCGCTCAATGTGAGTGATTCTGACCTGCGCTCAGAGATGAAAGAGCCACCATCCGTTCAAGGGAAGGCCACGGACGCACTGTTTGCGGTTGTACGCAGCGAACTTGGAGACTTTGTCCGCCACACGATGTTCCACCTTGACTTTACTAGTCCGGCTCTGAAGCCCATCGTTCCAGAAGTCGCTGATCTGGCCACCCTGGAAAGACTAATTAACGAAAGATATCTCAAGTTCTGTGACGAAGAGAACCCACTCCACTTCATGACGATTTGGTGGACGCGATCATATCTTGCTAAATGCCGCCTCTTGGAACACCATTCAAAATATTCTAGCTTATTTGTGCCCCAAACAGACGCTCAGCGCGACGCTTTAATTTCCATTGCGATTCTTATGCTTGAGTGCGACACGAAGCTCAGAAACTCGCCTCTCACCAAACCCTTCCGTTGGCTGGTTCACCTCCACTTTGCAGCCCCCGCATACCTTCAAATCGTCCAGGACCTAAAAATGCGGCCAAGCTGCGAGCTAGCTGAACAAGCTTGGGAGGCTATGAGTGACAACTTTGAGGCCGTATTCGTTTTTGTAAAGGAAGACGACGAGAGCCCTATCTTCAGAATTTTTACGAAAATGGTCCTCCACGCCTGGGAGGCTCGTGAGGCCACTTTCAGTGAGCCTTTGACGCCACCAAGGATTGTTTCATCCATGAGACATCGACTGGCTCAAATAGGGCAAAAGACACAGATTGTACAACAACCCAACGGTAGTATGGGCACTGGCCCTGACCACTTTCCAATGTCGATGGACCTTGTTAGCAATTGCATGTCGTACACCATCGGAGAGCAAGGCGGGTATGGAGGAATTGTGCCTGGGGCATACACCGATATGCCCGGACTTCCGCCGATATCCGTTGATGTTAATCCTTTAGACTGGGCTGCGATGGACTGGGGGTTTGGGGGCATGTATTCAGAGGTCTGGAATGCGGAACTTTGATGTTGATGACTTCCAGTAGTATAGGCCTAGACTCTACTCAATAACTCAATATAGTATGGAAGATATATCATTCTACATCATCCCCCTCCTTCGACTCCACATCTCGAATTCTAAAGGCCCGCATCCTTAAAATTCTTCCCCACATTAAACATTCATCTAACAAACAGCCCATCACCAACTCAAATGATGAATATTGTCGTTTCACAATCCGAGAGTGAGATGAGAACTTCTCCATGCAAGACATCTTGGACACGGAAAGAAGCTGACTGTTCCATCAAGTAAACGACTCCATTGATCATCGAAAGTGGGAATATCGACACAATAACTTGCTCATCTTCAACTCTTGTTGAGCTTCAGCTAACTTGTTTGGCAGCCATTCAGAGCTCGGCTTCTGGTGTCTGCTGAATGGACCACAATTCTTGAGAGCAACCCCTTGAGCTGCAACACCGGCTGTGGCCGCCGCGCCGCATCATCAAATCATGATCTCAGAAAGAAAGTGTTTATAGTTTCGGTTGCATATAAGAAATAAAGCGATGGATGCCTATAATGAAGGCGTGAAATCCATGAGATGTTTTACAAAGTGACGTTGTCGAAGATTTCGCTACGAGGCCTGGACGCGTCGAAATAAGCTTAAATTTAGCGAGCATAGCGTGTCTCTGGGGCTTCGATGACCCTTCCATCTAGAATATTCAATTTCTCCTGATCCTGCACCATGCTGCCAACAACACCTCCAATTACCCGCTATGCGTTTGATATAAAGCTCCTAAGGAATGAACATATCTCTTCGACTTCTACACGCCATCCGAATGCTCTCTGCGATACGCCCACCTCGGACAATGTCCTCTCCACCCCTCTATAAAACCAACCCCCTTCCACGATCCCTCTACCCGACACCCCTCGCCTACAAACATGCCGACTTCAGCAGACAGGATGAAAGCGCCGATTCTGAATGGTACGCGCAGCCACGTTTCGTACAACATATCGACGACCCCGCAATCGCATGCCTCAAATCATACTACAGCACAATCATAAAGCCCAATCACAGCGTCCTCGACATCTGCTCTAGCTGGGTCTCACACCTCCCCGCAGAGCTCAAGCCACAAAGCATGGTCGGTTATGGGATGAACTACGCCGAACTATCGAAGAACCCACACTTGACGAAGTTCTCTGTGAAGGATTTGAATGTTATGCCGAGGTTGGAAGACGTTCCTGATGGAACCATAGATACAGTGATTTGCAATGTTTCGGTCGATTATTTGACGAGGCCGGTGGAAGTGTTCAATGAGATGAAGAGGGTGCTGATAGGAGGAGGAACGGCGCATATGGCGTTTAGCAATAGGTGTTTCCCGACAAAGGTGGTCGGGAACTGGATGGGAATGAGTGATGAGGAGAGGAGGAGGTGGGTGGGTGGCTATTTTTGGGCGAGTGGGGGGTGGGAGGGTGTTGAAGAGGTGATATTGAAAGAGCAGAAAGAGGGGTTCCTGGGTGGATACGAGGATCCATTGTACGTGGTCAGAGGGATGAAAATGGCCACGAAATGAAGGCGCAATCTTGGGAGCACTGCCGAGTCCGGACTGGTCACTTCTTTTCGCCAGAACCTTAAATCCGATATTTGGAAAAGAACTCAACTTCCACCGGAGACACCTTTCCCAAGATCGTTGTTCTCGGCCGTTCGCCAAGCACGACGAACCGGGCCGATTGGCCGTGAAAGATAGTGAAGTTGGGCTGGTGTTGAGAAACTGGGGACACAGCCACGACAAACCAGCCCACCCTACTCCCTACATCTTGGCAACAATTACCCAGCATAATACGGGACAACGTACTCCCGTAATCGCAGGGCACTATTCAAAACCTTTACCCGCCTTTAACTCATTCAAACAAAATTCCTTGACAGCTCAGCGGCAGCACAAGCAGTAGAGATGAAGAATACTTTTCGAAAGTTAAGAGGAAAGAAGGACAATGAAGAAGGCAATAGACGGGAGTCCAACGATGCACGAACTCAATCCGGACTTACGTCTGCGCTGCAGAATATGAATCTCTCACCCGGATCTTCAACTGCTCAAAAACAACATGTCGGACAACAACCTGAGTCCTCAGGATCCAAAACTTCACCCGGATCTTCCCCTGCTCAGAAACAACATGTTGAGCAACACCCTGCATCCTTTGGAGCAAAATATACTCCCTCCGGATCAACAAATGCTCCACAGACTGCGAAAGCATCCTCTCCCAGTACAGGGCGACTCAGTGGGCAAGGATCAGTTCCCTTTGAGCAACTTGCTGCGCTTCTAGCAGCACCAGCATCAAGTACAACCGTGGAAGAAGCAAAAGACCTCTGCAAAATACCACTACCACCACTTTGCGCAGTGTGCTGTAACTTTGACCCTTACCGCACTCCGCCAGATCACGACGAGAGCGAGGGCCCGAGATCGTGGGCCAGGACGGAGTATAACATCCCTGAAAGTATACCAGTCGGGAAGATCTCAATCCAGAAGTCGGAAGACTTGATCGAATCTGCGAAACGTGGATGTTTCTACTGCTCCATGGTCTTTGCAGCACTCGGTGCAGTAAGCCCTGGTTGGGACAGCGAGAAGTCATTCATCCATATCTTTCTAGCAGCAGGCTTGCCAGTATGTGTTCGACTGCAGTTTGGTGTGACATCCACTGTCGCTCTAGGGAAGGAAGAGATGCTCGAACTTGGTATCGAGCTGGAGGAGGGACAGGTCATGGACTTCGTCATGACTGTTGGCGATCCTAACAAACCAGCTATCGACGTGGAAATTTATCGACCTCAAGTTCCCCTCGATCAGAGAACCGTTGCCTGTATGTGGTCCTTTTCTAACTCAACAAGAGCAAAGTGGCAAGTGCGCAACAGCTGACTGCCATGGCTAGATTTTGTCCTGGAACCACTTGTAGAGCACGTAGGCTTTGCAGAAGAGATACCAGGGCATGCCGCAGACGAAAAATGCTTCGACTTTATCAAAGAAAAAGTTGCACATTGAATAAAGGAGCATAAATGTGGCAGAGGTGGGCCTCTGCCTTTGCTTCCCGATCGCGTTGTTTGGATCGAAGCCAACCAAGGAACTGGCATTCAGCTCGTGGAGCCCAAAGATCTTCGTGCAAAGTACATCGCACTTAGGTCAGTCTCATTTTCTCGGAGCATTTATTGGTCCTCCGGAACGTATTCTGCGAGTTTGCCACCCCTTACCTAGGTATAGAGCGCAAGGCACTCGCGAGGCATCGCATCAACTCCCAAATTGTACCCTTTGAAGCAATACTGATTCGAGATTCTTGGGCTTAGTTATTGCTGGGATCCCGTGACTCCAGACGCGTATCTCACAGACGCGTCCACATTCAATCAGAGGAAAGTCGGCATGTTATACGTTGACTTACCGCCTCTCATTCAAGATATTGTCAGCTGTGCCCGCAAGCTTGGGATTGAATACATTTGGATAGATCGGCTGTGCATCACTCAGGACGATGCCGAGGATGTGCATCGTCAGACACTTCAGATGGGGGAGATTTACGGAAATGCCACTCTGACTATTATAGCGCCGTCTGCCTCTTCTGAAAATGACCGCATTTTGGTTGATAGAGGTACCAAATGGCAGGCTTATGGCCTTGCCTTGGATATCAATGGAATTGGCTCTCTGACGCTTCGATTCCGTCGGCGAACGCATCCCTTGGGCAAGGACGACACCGGGGCTGATTACGGCAAGACCTGTACAAGGGCTTGGTGTTGGCAGGAGCGGCTCCTCTCTGGGAGGACAATCTTTTATACACCTGGAGCTCTGAAGTTTGAATGCCATTGCCATTCCATCTGGGAAGGGTTTGGTCAAGGCGTCACAAGCCATTCCTGGTCTGCGAAGCTTGACGACATATCGCACTATTCTTGGACAATGCTGGTGGAGGAATATACAAGCAGGGACATCACTCCCCCTTCCGATCGGCTTCCAGCTGTGGAGGCAGTCATGAAGCGCATTGAAAGAAGTCAAGGGTGGACTCCTCTTTGGGGTAGGTGAATTCCCTTGTGCTCAAATAACCCTCTTCAGATGTTTTGCGATGTGTTTCCACTCTTCAAGCGCGTGTTGAGAGGAGAGGACTCGCTACCTTCCGACAACGTCTATCGGGCAATGCTAACTCTGAAATCATTAGGAATATGGTCTAATATGCTCGTCGAAAGTCTCGGCTGGGAGTCCAGAGAGTCGGAGCAAATCGGAATGCACGCGGCACGCATGAATCCAGGGCGCTACGCTCCAACTTGGAGTTGGGCTAGCGTCGATGGCCATATTTCCTACGTGTCTGGCAGACCCGTAGAAGGCTTTGGAATCAACCAAGTGGTATACGATCTGGAACTCCGAAAGCTCAATGCTGCCTCAGGCCTGATCACCGTCGTTGGCCACCTCGTTTTAGTCGAGCTCAGTTGTCGTATAGAGGCCGATGGGCTCTCGGAAACTGAAGCGGGTGAGGAGAAGGAGCTCAAGTATAAATACGAGGTACAAGGGGTTTACGCCGATGCCAGTGGCCCGCAGGGATTTCCTATGAAACCCGACATTGCCCTGAAGCCATGGAGTGGTGATGTCAACGGGCGGCATATATCGACTGTCATCCGGGTACCCTTTGGAGAGGCGATTCCGGAGAAGTCTTGGAACGCTGATTGCCTTTGCCTCTTGGTCAGCAAGAGCAGGCTGCGATGTCTTGTCCTCTTTCTCGGGGCCTCGCTGCTTGAATCTGGCGTTTGGGAGAGGCTTGGGATGGTGGAAGGGCTCCATCCTGGTATCTTCAGAAACTCTCAAAGGCAGACCATCAATATTGGTTGATGTGTGACTGACTTTTGAGGTGTCAATTGAGGTTTGCAGCGCACACCGAGAGCCTGCATGTTCGAGGCGTTATTCAGCTGTACATTTTACAAGGGGGATGACAACAGCATCTTCCGTCTTTGAATTAGAAATGCGAGAATTCCCACTGGAAATTATTACAATTGTTCCGACTCACTCCGTGATATACAGCATCTCGATCCCGAGCTAAGAAGAGAACCTGGAGAACCCAACACTCATATCCTTTCAAACATCAGGTCACCTTCTGAATATCCACTCGAATCGGGAAATTCTCCGTCCGCCATAGGACGAGCGGACATGATGACATTCCAACTCCATCTTCAAGCAAAGTCACCTGCTTTGCCAAAACCAGCAAGCAAATGCACAATGTTCTATTTCTGGCCCCGATCTCGTACTCTTAACCTTGATTGTTTTGCCGGAACAAGATTTGGGGGGTTAAGCGAGGCTCGAACTCAGTCTACAAGGGACAACGGGGGTTGGACACAGGGCTTAACGGGACGCAATATATCCCGCTGACTGAAGACTCCCTTGCGGTTAAAAATTGCACATTTTATTACAGGCACGAGATTCAGACCCACAGACCTCCAAAAGGTTGGTAGCACCAATCGCGAGCGAGCTGTTTCGGGGTCTCGGCCTCGATTTCGATACGACGTCGTAGATCGTTTGCGTGAACTGTTCGAGATTTGCTTGCCTCTCTTCGGCCATACTCTTGCGCCAAAATCCCCGTTTCGAGAAAACATATTCCTCTTTCCTCAGGGGCTAAGTGGAGGAGGAAAATGCTTGTTCCTCACATTCTCGAAAAGAGGCGTTCCATTTCGATCCGGAATGTGGGCAGCTTACTGGCGAGAGTAGCAAAGTTTCTACTTTGGGTATACAGAGGACGGTATGGATAATATGAAGAATGCTTCTGACACTCGGATTTCGATATAAACTATCCCTCACAAACACCATCTCTTCTTAATGAACACCCATCCCGTTTCTTTGCTGGATTTGAAAAATCTCTTCATTCGTTTCGCTGTTAGCGTTTCGTTTCCTCTCTCTTTATTCGTTTTACAATTCGCACCGTCATGGCGCCCCGTTTATCATTCAAGGCGTTCACACTCCTCGCCGTTACCGCTCTCCCAATTGTCTCGGCAATCGAAGTAGCGTCCGCCTCCTCGGATACTACTTGCTGGCAATGCAAAGGCTGCTACAACGAAACAGCTTCCATCCAACCCCTTCAATTCAAGATTCTCCCTCCCTTAATCGAAGACACGAATAACGAGAACTGCCAGTCTGCATGTCTCGCAGCAGGACACCTTGTGAGTGGGACGGCAGATGCGTATAACTGCTGGTGCGACAACACGCTCAATGCGAAAAGCAACAAATTGCTTGAATCATTCTGCAATGTTCCTTGCGATACTGTCACCTCAGAGATGTGTGGAGGATATTACGCTGTATCTGTATACTCGGACACATGTCTCTCGTCTCCTCCCGCGCCGTCGGAAACTATAACTATTACCACCGTCCCACAGCCAACTCCAACAAACATCCACACAGTCTACATAACCGCCATCGTGACCGGCCCGCAGACTCCGCAATACACGTCGGCGCGGACTTCAGTGATCTACGTGTAAGCCCCGACTACCATGAATCCCTATAGCAGTGCGAGACAGCCGCCGGACAGAAGCACAACCACTGTGAAGGCGCCGCAGAATACGTGTAGTTGATATTCTCTGTTTTTTGTTGAGCACGAATTGTGATTTTAGCCAGTACAGAAAATGTGTTAAATGGCGGCATTTCCCTCATTTTGGGAGGGGCTACAGGTATGGTTCCTTTCATTGCCCCAAATAGCTGGATTTATGTATTTCTCTCCCGTAAATTGAAGGAATGGAAGGAGCGGAATATACTTTGAGAAAAGAAGCGGAGACTGATAATTCACAGCGGCGCTTAAATTACCAAAAGACATCGAATGGCAGTGTGGAACTCCACAATCACCTCAGCACCCTCTGCCTCCTAGGACACAACAGATTCTTACTCCCTTGGCATCAAGGCTGAGACCGAGTCCTACTCCATATCCACGATCTACCGCACTCCCACCCACACTGTGTACCAGGCTCGGCAACGATTGCTGAGTAATCGATTAGTAATCGATTGTGTATACCATTAATTAGCTATCGATTATAATCAATTGGTAATCGATTACTAAACGATTGTTCTACCGCTTTTACCCCGCATCCCCCCATTTTTTTCTTCTCTCTCTCTCTTTTCTTCTCTCTCTCTCTTTTCTTCTCTCTTTTCTTATATTATTTTTTATAGAATAAATTCTAATAGATTTTATCTTTATATTATTTTAAGGATTATTCCATGAGAATTGAAATTATATAGATCTCATGAACCTTATTTTAGATGATTTTGATTAATATATTTATTATTTATACACACAAGTTCATTTCTTTTGTAAAATTATTATAGAAATCTTTTTTAATCATATATTCCGTCCCTTTTATCTCTCTTCTTTTCTCTCTCTCTCTTCTTTTCTCTCTCTCTCTTCTTTTCTCTCTCTCTCTTCTTTTCTCTC